TATTTTGAGGTAGGTTGTCAGATCTGACCGAGGGAATATGAGATTCCTCGTCAAACTGATGTCCAATTTGAGCCATTATACCTGTAAAAAAACTAAACTATTAGTACCCATTGTATTATTGAATTAAAAAAAAAACAAACACAAACAATTAAAAACAAAAAAAAAATCACACACAAAAAATAAAAAAATAAAAAATAATAAAAAAAATTTCAAACACTTGGGAAATTTGAAAACAAAACTCACATTGACCGGATTAGTAGTCCGGTCAAGACACTACGAAACACGAAAGAAAAACAAGGTGTCCGGATAAGTAGTCCGGATGACAAAGAAACACTTAACAAAAAAATCAATAATGTTGTCCGGATTAGAAGTCCGGACGACAAACAAAATCACAAGACTAAACCGGACAATCATCAACCGGTTTAAGGTTGAACGGATTTGAAATCCGATCATCGTGTCCGGTGAGATTTCCGATCAAACACGAAATGATTAAAACCACAAAATACACATAATAAAATCATAACAAAACAAAATACGTATCACAGACTCAATCGAAACACTAAAACGACTCGAAATACACTAAAATCATAGTCTAATCTGAGTAAATACTAGATTATGAATCGATTATGAACAAATGAAAGAATTAGGTCAAGAACAGTCAAAAACAACAATACAAATCAAATCAATAGACGTATGAATGAAAGGAGTTTAGAAATCGATTCGAAACCTGGATTAGAATCGAAGAACAACGAACACGAATCTGAAGTCCTTTGAAGTATAGTCGAGCGGAGAACAAGCGGATTTCAAGCGGAGACGATGAACGAATATTCGAGTATGTAAAAAAGTAAAAATGAACAATGAAACGGTTATTTATAGTCAAAGAGTCAAGTCAGGTTCTCAAGATGTCAACGTTCAAAGTTCTGCCCCGGAGTCAGTGCTGGAAAGAATAATAGAGGCGATTGTAATTGAAGAAGAAGTGGTGGCAAGTCCTACAATCGAGCCAATGGTTGAAAAGCCGGCGGACTCCACTGTAGAGACAAGGTTGCTTATGGACTTGTCAGCCAACGTAGGTTTCAACAGTTTGTTTACATCTACTTTGGGTGGAGAGCAGGATTTCG